ATAAACCTTTTATAAAGCTACTTTATTTTTTATGAATAAGGCCATTTATTTTTTATGAATTTAGGTGCATATCTATATGAGGAGTGTATATATATATATGAGGGATTCACAACGGTGTGGTAAGTGGCGTATTGTTGTATGGCGTAAACTTTAAAAGCTTAAACAGACGTTTAGAGAACTTAAATCCACAACCAACTATTTTGTAACACTGCGAAAATTCGTTATACTACTTTGATGGTAGTTTGAAACCCCCTTAATAATTTTTTTTGGCGTCTAACGTTTATGACACACAAAAATACAACACTTACGTCAACTTTGTGAATACCCCAATAGTTTTTGACGTCAATCTTCAATACCACTTTTGAAAGGCTAACAATTAAACTGCAAAACATGTTTAATATGTTTTTAAAACTACTCGCACAGCGTTTCGCGACAGATTATGATATTTCCAGTACATTTTGAAACTATGTAATTCCGTTTTAACACTTCCTGTGAAATAACGTAATATGGAAGTATAATTTTTTGATGAGACAATCCCCAAACCAGGATTACTAGGAATGTAGAGCTCAGCTTATTAATTAATGTGTGTATGAATATATTTCACTTTGGTGTTAATGATCAGTAATAAAATATTCTAAAGGTATATGCAATCGTATTTTATTTATTTATTGTTCGAACCACTTAGGCTACTATACGTAAAACAGGACAGAAGCCCTGCAACCATCTTAAACAAGCAAACACACATCCAAACAACAGAAACTAAGAGATTATTACCTACCTGCGGATCCAGTGATCGAATCGTGACGGTCGTGAACATTGTACACATGTATTCTCAGCGAAAATTTAGAGCTCAGTATGGCAATAACAATTAACAGAACAAACAGAACATATATAGCTCTCGCCAACGCCAAACGAACGGATAGCCATAGTTGCCTCGAAAAGGTCCAAAACAAACTAAAAAGGCCCATATTGGCAACCGTTCATTTCAAACTTCGTATAAAAATTATATCAAAATTCTACAAACTAACAATTACACCCAAAATTTTTTAACTTTTTATTCAGAATTTGTAGTAAAGTTTTAGGTTTGCAGTTCTGTAGTCCACTTTAAGTTTATTTTGCTTGTTGGGTTTTTAATCGGAACCTTTTTAGGTACGCAGTTGTATAGCTTATTAAATTTAGTAGATTTTTGGGTGTAATTGTTACAGTTTGTTGAATTTTTGTGCGACGTTGGAAATGTGAATCTATGTGGTGCGGATTATGTAATGAGCTAAACTTTTATACAAAAATATAAACATTTAACAAACAAACGAAAAATAGCCAAAACTGGTCAGAATATTACTTAACACAATCAGCTGACCAAAATGGTATGTAGTATTTCTATAGGACAGAACTCAATGCCGATAGAGTGACGTTACCGCATGATACTTTGCCCCCGACCACTTTGGATATCTGGATATCCGTTCGGATATTTATGCCTACGGATAAGATCCAGATTTTCGGTTAATATTCAAATATTCCGATTTAAAAAAAAAAAAAGATAATTTAGCCAGTTGTTTTGGATTTCCGATTTGAACCATTGCAAAACTGGTTATTATTTGAAAAAGTCAATTTTTTTCCCTTCTACTAAATCAATAAAATATGAAACTTACATTGTGTTTCTAAATAGAAATGAATTTGGAGATATTTCGTTCAAAGCTTTTACCGCAAGCAGAAATAACCGTCACTATTTGTTTGAGGCTTAATGTCTAAGGTTTGCACGGATCTCGTGACCAACTTGATGGTGGTCTCATACAAATCCCGCTTGTTTACATGCTATATGCATAAAAGTCGAATCATCCGTCAACTATGGAGAACAAATACATATGTATGTACTCAACCGAAATAACCGTTTTTCGTGTCGCACCTTAATGTGCATAAATATGTACATACGTATGTAGTATGTGCATATGTAAGTAGTTGCGTGTATGAACATAGGTTCAAAGATATCCGTAAGTTTGTATATACCCAAAATTATTATTATAGTTTTCTGTTTTGATTCCTCATTTTCTTTGCAAAGGTTGGTATGTATGTATGTATGTATATCGCATCTCTATGAGATCATGGCTTATATTGTCTTGCTTATCTAATATTTTGAATACCTACCTTCTGTCCAATAAAAAGTCGCTCACATAACAACATTATATGTACATAAATATATACGGATATACTTGCGTTTGTCGTCCAAAAACAAATTTAACAAAAGAACCGGCTTCTGCGGCTAATAACTTTTGGCTCTCTTGTTTTTGTTCTACAAAAATATACATATGTATGTTTGTATGTATATTATACATTCATTTGTATTCATATACATACATACATATGTATGCACATAGTAATTATACATATGTATAGCATATACGCATAGTAAGATACACACAAACATGTGGGCTAATTTGTCGACCGTACTGGACGAGGTGCGCAATATGGTTCCGAAGAGTTACCTCACCAACCCCCTTTTACCGCCACACACCTCTCACCAACATATGTAGACTCGCTACTCACATCTCCTCAATGCAAAAGCTCACCGAAGCAAAAATTCGACAATTTCAAATACATATTTTCAGGTTCTACTAATGCGTTAGACATTAACTTGATGTTAGTTGAGTTTTGCGTATCGTGTGGAATGGTCTGAAAATAGAGGACTAGATACTATTGTATTATATATTAAGTTCTTAACATACACATGTATATGCAATAAATATAGGTACAACTTATTTGTTATTCCTTGGTGAACTACTAAAAGAAAATCATCATTTGAAGTGCTTTTACTATTGCATATCTGCATACATATCTGTTGGAATATTTATAATAAACTCATATAAATAAGATATTGCACAAATATGTCGGACGCAGCGAATGGTGAGTCGAAATTTGGGTTCAAGGATAAGGAGAAGGCGGTCGAGACGCTACAATTGCTCGAAAGTCATGATATGCAATACAGGAAATTGACAGTACGAGGATTGTTAGGACGCGCTAAACGTGTCCTTACCAGTGAGTACTCGCGTTCATTCATAAATTTTTGGATGTGTTTGTATATTATATGTACTTATGTACACATCTATGTACTTTCATTTTCTTCACAGTGACAAAAGCTGAGGAGAAACTCAAGAACATCAACGAAGCAATCGGAGTTTTCGAGAAATGGCTTGAGGAGAATGGCGGCGGGGCTGCCAATAAAAATTCTAAAACCGACAAAGAAGACAAAGTGGAAACAGTACCTGGTTTAGGCTTTAAGGATAAGGAAGCGGCGGAAGCGACATTGAGGTAATTGAAAGCTGCTAGATTACTCGTTTCCTTTTCTAACCCTTTGTCTACACTTGTGTGCATGGAAAATTTTGAATCTAAACGGAATATAGTGACTGAGAAACCGGCGATAAGTGAGAGTTAGAGAGATTCAACGTAACATTGAGTAGAAAAAAATATATTCATATATATGTATACTATGTACATACATACATATCGTCGCCTGGGTAAAAGATCGGCAGATTTTGTGAAATCGATGTTAAAGATTCAGTCACAATTTCTAAAAACGACTATCCATTGCATAGGATTGGTGTGATTTTGTCGTATATACCATACAATTTGTCACATAAGACAATATTTTAACAAGTAATCATTTTCATCAAACTATATGCAAATTTTGTCGTATGTGAAATTTTTCGTCACATACAAAAAATATGGACAGAGTCGCTTGTGAGCTTGCAAATACGGCAAAATTTTACTCAATATCTCGGGAACTAAGGGAGATATCCAAAAACTGATAACACCAATCGAAAGATCTTTTTAAAAATAAATAAAACTGCATGTTTAACTAAAAATCTTCAAAATGACTTTACGGCAATCTTTTACCCAGGCGACGATATGTATGTTAGACCACGCCGAACAAAAAAACATCCTGCAATACGACCAGAATAAGACTCAATTTTTAGCATTTGATATTGTTATGATCCTTCTTTTGACGCGGTCTAATATAGGTACATTAATTTTCTTCAAGAAAAGCCTTTTTTTTTGCCCTTAATTGTAGGCATCGAAGAATTAGTATTACTATGGAGGAGTGATGCACGGATTCTTTAGAGAACCGACCGCTTTTCTTGCAATTTGGAATCGAGTTTCAGTTCTTGTATGAACCGGATTCTTTAGAGAACCGACCGAAAAATGGTCCCGGAAGAACTGAAGAACTCGATGAAACTCGATTCCAAAAGAACCGAAAACGGTTCCAGAAGCACCGAAACTCGATGTCATAAGAACCGAAATTCGATTCCAAAATATCCGAAAATCGGCCCTGAAGCGCGGATTCAGTTTTTGGCATAAAGTCTGTTTAGCTGTGTTTTGTAGAGTTGACCTACCAGCCGTCAGCTTGCGTCATAAGAGCAGCGACAACATCGAAATTAAATTTTATTTCGTGTATTTTATTTGTATAACATTTTTGTCACACAAATATCAACTAAGTAAAGATATGTATAACATATTTATGTATTTATTTTATTGACTTTACTTTATAACAAAAATTTTAATGGAATTCGAGTTTTTGTAGCAACTTTTTAAAATCTTTTTAATTTCTGGTAAGATTTTTTCGAGAACCGGAACCGGTCTAAATTCCGGTTTTCCTTGGAACCGAACTCTACAGAAGCGGTTCTTTAAATACTCGGAACCGCACATCACTAGTATGGAGTATGATCTCTTTATTCCAAATGTATAGAAAGAACCTGTTTTGAAGACAATTCTAAAAGACGTTTTCAATCATTTTATCACGTTGTATGTCTATATACATATTGCACACCGTCTTAAAAAGAGTCACAACTCAAAATTTGGCATTTTTCAGATTATGCACTAAAAATGTACGCAGAGCTTTTATTTACCTTTCAGCAAAAGCTGGAACAATTTTATTTTATAATTTGCAAAAAAAAACCTAAGTCGCCCTTGCCCATATGATTATCATGTGCTAAGATAGTTTTTCGCATTTTCTGACAAACGTATTATTTCGAGTTGCGACCCTTTGGAAGACGGTGTGCGATATGTTTCCTTAACCGAAGAATATGCGTAGGATAAGTCCATTCCAATTGTGGGTAGGTTCTAGAGTTAATATATTGCTTCGCTATCCTTGTTTTTACAGCTCTTGTTTTACAAATAGGAGCTCCATTTTCTTGGTATAAACAAAAGGCTGATACATTTTATTAGTTTTGCCTACGCACAAGTACATATGTACCTGTTCTATCTAGGCTTACAGTATCTATTGAATTGACTGAAATTAAGAAAAAGGCTGCATAGAAAATAATACATAACGATTTAGCTTCTTCTTCGTCAATATTCAAAATGAGAATAAAACGAAGCTTCTGTGATGTCTACGAGCTAAGCTCATGAAGAAAACAAATCGAACTCATTCAAATGAAGTTATGTGTATGTATGTATGTATGCGAGAATGTACATATTTATGTATGCAGATATACTTAAGTACATACTTACTTATGTACGCGTCAAAATTTCTGTATACTAACAATTAAATATACCCATACAAATTTACAAATACTCGATGTTGACATTGCCATGATGGCTCTCCTACTGAGATCATCACAATAAATACAAGTATGAACATTCCCTGTAGGAAAATACATATAAGCAGGCATTGTGAACTCATTAAAATTTTACACCGAAATTCATCAAAATTAAAGTCGACTTTACTGCTTTATAAATAGAAAACTTGTATGAAAATGTCAGCTTAAAAAGCTCTTTAAATCTATTTTACTTTTATACCCGAGCGCACTTGTGTTAAAGGGTATTATAATCTTGTTCACATAACAGTTGTTTGTAAATGTATACATAAATGATCCGAATGAAAAGAGAAGTCTATTAAGCTATGTCTGTCTGTCCGTCCGTCCGTCCTTGTACACGATAACTCGAGCAAACCTTTATATATCTCAAGGAAATTTGGTATGTAGGCTGTCCTTTATCTAAGGTAGGTTGTTATTGAAAATGGGCGAAATCGGACTTTAACCACGCCCACTTCCCTCATAACGGTATTTTCGAAAAATGCAAAATCTACGATATTTTAGCAAATATTCCATTTAAATTGTTGAAAATTAGTATGTGATGTAGAATTATGGTAAAAAATAATAGTATCATGAAATGTTGGAAAATGGTCTTGACCCTGCCAACTTATGATGAAATGCTGTATCTCGGTAACCGCTTCACCAATCCTTACCAAACTCGGTCCGAGCCTTGCTTTGGGTCCAACTAGAAATCTGTTGAAAATCTTTGAAATCGGTCAAGAACCCAGCCCACCTACCATAGAACGGTAGTTTACAGAAACACGAAAACTGCGATAACTCAGTAATTATTGCAACTAATTCACTCAAAATCGATGACTGCAATTATCACTTTGCAGAAAATTTTATTATTATAAATTTTTGGATAATGGGCGTGGCGCTGCCCGCTTATGAATAAAAGTAAAAGAATCAACATTGAACTGCGTCAAAATAAAAATAAGGGAGCTCGAATTTCGATGTGAAGCAAAACTCTCTGGGACGACAATGCCTGTAATTATTGTACCATGGTGAAAACGTACCTTTTTGTTTTAGAAGATTGAGCAACAGTACTAACTGCTTTCATAATTGTTACGTTTTGGTGCGATTGAGTGATTTGGTACATGAAATGGTTGCAGAAACATCATTGTACATATATAACAGATCAAAGTTACTCACAGGGCACGGTGCAGCCTCACAAGGGTTTGCTCACAATACAAATCGCCCGACACATTTATACGTCTAATGTCATCATTTACGGGACTCCCTCCAGGGTCAACATGCCAAAACCTAAATACAAATCTATGCAAATATTCCTCCATATCTACATACATATGTGAACTTGCATGTATGTATATACATACTTACATATGTCCAGACTTATATACATACATATGTTTTTATACTCCCAAGTGCGAGAGAATATCAAAAGCTTCATAGTAAATGCATTCACTTATCAACAGAACTTAATTGAGCTTGCAGAGCATGGATTTTTAGTACAACTACTTTTCTATTGTATAACGTAAATGCGTTTTAAATAAGGGTGGATTGTGTAAATAATCGATAAAAGATTGTATACCTATACACATTCATCTCGAGCCCTAACCGCCAAAAAGACGTAAACGACATTTTTCCAAATTTTATGTCTGATGCAGAAATGCACCTAAATGTTCTAGGAACATTTCTGCATCAAATGGAAAAAGTAAAAAAAATGTCGCTTACATCTTTTAGGCGGTTAGGGCTAAATATTTGTTTTTTTTGGGTTTTTTTTTTTTTTGATACTTTTTTTGGTTAATTTTGGATTCTCCCGAAAAGATAACTTTTCTCAAATCCTCTTTAGTCTATTGTTTTAAAGATCCGTTATTCGATTTTTTTGAGAAAATTACCGAATTTAAATTTAAGTTTAGGTGAAACCTGTTTTTTTATTAATTTTGGATACACAAAATTTTTGAGACCTCAAAGCTAAAAAAGTGGTTTTATCGGCGTCAGCAAATTTTGTATTTTCTACACTTCTCATTTAATTTACAGTACGGTCTCAATAAGATAATAAGAAGAATTTAATTGCAGTAAAATAATGCACTTACCAATTGGATTTATAAATCATTACTAACACCACTGATTTAAAGTCGCTAAACCAAAATGCACCTTTTTTGTGCGCTACTGTATGTACCCACAACCATCAACAGTTCATTTTTTATTTCCTTGTTATTAATTTGGTCGTTCTTATTTAATGTTTTTTTTAAAGATATTATTCTTTAAGCCGTGTGGTGTCATGCCACATACATAAATACATATGTACAGTATGTATGTACTCATTTATGTGTTTATCTGTCGTTACGAAATGTCATGAGGGCTTCCAACCACCATCTCATTCTCAAGCGCTGGTGAAATAAAATGGTTTTTTTTTTTTTTTGGGATTTCGATGTGATAAAATGGTTTGAAATGAGAAACAAAGTAAAACAAAAACAAAGCTTTCGATAAAACATGCACAGTAGGAAATTTTTGGAAAAACCCAGGCGAGGACTTATACAACAATATGTCGATGGCTATGGAATATGCCATGTCTCGGCAGCCAGTTCGAAAACGCCCTTTTTCAGAACATTTTTCAAGAACGCCCTTATTCAGAATTTGATTGAAAAACGCCCTACCTCAGAATTCTGTTCAAAAGCGCCTTATCTCAAACGAAAATATATTAGGACTTTTCAGGATGTTGTGAAAATGGTCCGGATATGCAGTTGGAATTATATTTGCAAATTATATGCTTGCTGCCATGGCAACCGTGTGCATTTTATTGTTGTGAGTTTACAAATGCAACGAATATGCAAATGCAAGAGCATATCGATGGATGAGTGGAAGATCGACCTATCTCGGCAGTCAGTTCAAAAACGACCTATCTCAGAAGTCTTTTCAAGCACGCCCTACTTCTGAATTTGATTTAAAAACGCCCTATTTCAGAATTTGATTGAAAAACACCCTATTACAGAATTTGGTTGAATAACGCCCTATCTTAAACGAAAATACATTGAAAATAAGCTGAGATAGGGCGATTTTGAATCGGCAGCTGAGATAGGGCGTTCTTCAACTAAATTCCGAGATAGGATGTTTTTCAATCAAATTCTGAAGTAGGGCGTTCCTGAAAAGTTTTCTGAGATAGAGCGTTGTTCAAAAATTTTCTGAGATAGGGCGTTTTCGAACTGGCTGCCGAGATAGTACGATCTTCCACTCAGCCGTCGATATGCACAAGATTCTGAACAGCCCCACTGAAATGTGCTGGCAAAATCAAAAATTTGGACTTGAATAATAAAAAAGTATGTATGACTATCTTTTTTCTTCCTTCTAAATATGTTTTCGTTGCTATAACTGGTTTTCGACCTAAAACTTGTGTTTTCGTCCATGTAAAATCTGTCAGACGAAAACTAGTTTTCGCTTAAAACTACTGGAAAACTCACGTTCCACTCATTCCAATCGGTGTCTTCACTAGTATTCTAGATATATTTATCCAAGGGGAGGTCATATTTTATTATCTCTAATACGCTAGTTGGGATTTATTGTCAATTGGCTGGCCAAATTAAAATATGAACAAAAGAAAACGGTTGCTAAAGTAAGACAAATGAAAGACAAAGATTTTGATTTTGTTTTTCCGTAGCAGAAATGTCAATGAAAATACTAACAGTCGGTGTGAACAGCTTTCAGCCCACAATCCCAACACTCGTTTTCAAAGTGTTTTCGTTGGGGGTCCGAACATGGTATAAGGTTTCTACTTATTCGAGAAGTCATATCTATGAACTATGCATGTACAATGTACATATATGTATGTATAGGTACATACATAATATGTATGTATATAGATTGTATTATAATACGCGAATGTTTTTTTTTTTTTGTAAAGATCATCAGATCTGTACCGTTCATTCGAATTTCAAAAATTAGGTTAAAGGTATGGCCTTAAGATGTGCGACAAGGTGTTATTTTCTGAAGTTAGAACTTTTTTTGGCTGATTGAAATTTGCTGAAATAAAAACAAGATACCGCGACCTCTCTTCACTCCGAAACGGCTGAACAGTTTTAGATGAAATATGGCAAAATGATCGCCTATGACCCTGACTAAAATGTTTGGAATATTGGTTTGGGTTTTGAAGAGAGTTTCCGTTAATTGAAATAGAGTTATCAGTTAATTGAAATATATATCGCATAATGAATGTCAAGCGAAAGAGGTTTAAGAGGTTTTAGTTTGAATATAGTACAGAAGTTTTAAGAGGGTTGCCATCTCTAAATTCGAATTATATAGTAAGTCTAATGTATTACTAAAAGACAGGTACCAATCGAAATCGAGTTTAAAAGGCTTTATTTCCAAAAAAAAATGTATGTAGGACGATTGTCACTTGTTTAAAGTATCTAATTCATCAGTGAATTGAAATAGATACATTTGTATCAAACGAAAAAAGTTTTGGTTTGAATATATTTTTAATGAGGTTAACACCTGTTTGAAAAGTCGGGTTCAAATATATTAAAGAAAGAGTTTTACGAAAGCTTTTGATAAAATGTATTATTTTGTTGGGGTTGCCAACACCAATGCTAATCAATTCCTACGTACATGTCTGTATATTTTGCGCCCCTGGCAATTCAAAGGTTAACTCGTTTTGTTTTTCTAATCTCAAAAAAAAAACCTATTAGGGCTAGAAAGTATTACGATGAAGTTAAATTTAAAATGGCATACCACTTTCATAAACAAATGATTATTATTTTTCATTTCCAGAATACTTAAAGATCGTGATCCAGATTATCAAAGACTGGCTGTCAAAGGGTTGATTGGTAGTTCAAAACGTGTACTCTCCGGCACAAAGAATGAAGATAAAATCAAGTCTATTAATGAAGGTGTTAAGATACTAGAAGATTTCTTAGAGAAGTTCGAAACAGAAAATTTAATAAAAAATAATCGAGCCTACCTCGCATATTCCATTATCGAGCAATTACCTGAAGCCAAAGATGGGTTGGCCGCTGAATTTGTGAAAGCTTATGGAGGAGCCAAAGCTAAAGGCAACTACAAACATTTACGTACTATGTATCCGGAAGCCGATGACTCGACATCATGGGATATTATGCGCAATCGAAATATAGCAAAAATTTTGGAAAAAATTAAGGCTGAGGATGCAAAATTGTTCAATGCTGAAACTGGTGAGCCAACAGAGATTCATCTGGAACTTATACATTGGGCCTACAGTCCACAATCAGACAAGGTGAAAGCATATTTGGAGAAGAACTCAAAGAAAAAGGCTGAGAAACGTAAAATTGAACAAAAGGAAAACTCCAGCTCTGACGAAGTTAACAGCGCTAGTAGCGAGGATGATGATGATGATGAGGATGGCGAAACACCACAAAAGAAAAAGAAGACTGCATAGATATTGCGTAGTGGAGACATATTGCAGTTGTTGTAAATATGGTACTACAAAAATCGAATCAAATATCCAAGTAACCAAATATCAAATTTTTGTACTTATAAAATAATGCTGAATTTTCACTAAACATTAAATGACACAATTTTCTTCGACAATGTTTGGTAAAAAAAAAATAACTCTGCCGAATAATGGCGAACTTCGAAAAAGCAGTTACGCAGATTCATAGTAAAATATCAACTCAAAAAGAATTTTCGATAAAGATGTATATTTGCAGACGGGACGAGTTGAAAGATGATACAATAAAGAATAATGCTCGATTTCCACTCGGCATTCAGCGGCAAAAAATTGCAATGACAAAGTTGGGCATTACAAAATAATCGTGTCCAAAATATAGTCTTTAAGTCTATTTACACATGGCATTTTTTAAATGGCACCATTGTTTTGTCATTTCAATGCCTAGTGGAAATTCGGCATACATTTGTACATATGAAAACATTTTGATTTTGTCGCAAGTAATTCAAATTAATTTTTCTACTACATAGTGTGTACATACATATAAGTATATGTATAGTATATGGTCAAACATTTCGAGACCTATCCGCCAAAAAGACGTAGGCGAATATTTTTTTCAATATTTTATTTTTGATGCAGAAATGCATCTGGATACTCTAGCAACATTTCTGCATCAAAAAAGAAAATTTTGAAAAAATGTTTGTGGCGGTTAGGGCTCGATTTATTAAAAATTTTTATATACATACTAGCTCTGATCCAGTACTCCATGAACTTACAGGTTTTTACGCGAACTTGCAGGAAGTTACAGGAAAAATGATCCCGTACTCCAAATTCCTCCTAGAGAATGAAGTTGCAAGATTTTACCCGAACTGATTGACGTTTTTACAGGAAAAATGCTTTTCTTCTTCCCGTACTTTTTGTTGTTACTCACTTTTTACTCTCACTTCAGAGAGTAGTTTTGCTGTTTGACATTTTTACAGGATTTTACAGGAAAAGTATTGGATCAGAGCTACTATCTACTGAAATTCATAAGGCAGTTTCACTTGAAACTCTACCATATGTGTGTACATATGTATGTACACACATTTTTGAGTAAGTATACAATTTTTCTAGTGCTTACTTTAAAAAAAGGGATATTTAAAAAGGTCGTAGAAAGCGATATGAATTATTCTTAGGGCAACACCTCCTGTAAAATTTATTGAATTTTCATTGTACAGCTGAAGGACAACATAAAATGAATAATATGCAATATAAAATGGAAATGGAAGAAGGTGTAGATATTATGACTATTAATCAGATTCAGCATTCAGCCAAAAGTTAACGCGTCTGTGGACGAGATCCATTTACGATGGCAAAAGTGCTGTTGGTNGTTTTTACGCGAACTTGCAGGAAGTTACAGGAAAAATGATCCCGTACTCCAAATTCCTCCTAGAGAATGAAGTTGCAAGATTTTACCCGAACTGATTGACGTTTTTACAGGAAAAATGCTTTTCTTCTTCCCGTACTTTTTGTTGTTACTCACTTTTTACTCTCACTTCAGAGAGTAGTTTTGCTGTTTGACATTTTTACAGGATTTTACAGGAAAAGTATTGGATCAGAGCTACTATCTACTGAAATTCATAAGGCAGTTTCACTTGAAACTCTACCATATGTGTGTACATATGTATGTACACACATTTTTGAGTAAGTATACAATTTTTCTAGTGCTTACTTTAAAAAAAAGGATATTTAAAAAGGTTGTAGAAAGCGATATGAATTATTCTTAGGGCAACACCTCCTGTAAAATTTATTGAATTTTCATTGTACAGCTGAAGGACAACATAAAATGAATAATATGCAATATAAAATGGAAATGGAAGAAGGTGTAGATATTATGACTATTAATCAGATTCAGCATTCAGCCAAAAGTTAACGCGTCTGTGGACGAGATCCATTTACGATGGCAAAAGTGCTGTTGGTCTTAGCTCAGCTTTTGTTGTATAAAATGTGGGTAGAATTAAGGGCTTATGTGCAAAGCCATACAATGCACATCATTTTGTATGCAGTTATTGTAAATGTTTTCGTTTTGTCTTTTTAAAAAAGAAAAAAAGAAACTGTTTTGGAAATATAATAAATGTGTTTGTTAATTTTCTCCGAAGTTCATAAAATTTAGTACTTGGGAACCAAAAAGGTTATGCGTGAGTTGGGCGTCATAGTGAGAAACTCTTTAATATATTCCAAGTTGGTGGACTTGGTGGACGATAGTATTAACCGAGTTTGATGTTCTTTCGGATTTATGCTTTTCTAGTTAAAGCCATCATATACTCTGCGTTTCATAAAACACGAATAGCAAGTAACATTTCCGCCTACAAGAGCCTGTGGGCGTGGCAGTGAGTGCACTTTTACCATTTTCAACATTTCTTCATTCCTAAGTGGAGAATGGAGCATATATTTTCTAAATTTCGGCGAACTTATAGTACCGCTCTAGTACGCAGCTTATATGGAGACGTCCGTGGGCCATAGCGTTCATAAAAACAGCCATTATACATTTTTTTCACGTGGCATTTTTAAATGACATAAATTTGTTGTCATTTCAATGAGTAGTTGAAATTCGGCATTATAGTTGCTATGGGGTATACTTATGTATATATGTATGTTTGCATAGAAATACATATGTATGTACATGTATTAATAGTCAATTTAAAATTTCTGAATGTTGAACCTATGTATGTATTGTAAACTATTCGAATATGTATTTGTGTAAATTTAGCAAAAACTGCAATAAAGTTTATGTAACGTTCCCATTTTGGGACTTTAAATCAAATGTTTTATTTTAAAACATTCTATTTACTTTATTCACTGCTTGACATAGTCGTATCATACAATTATCTAAAATACAGCCATTACATCATACATATATAATACATACATACATATTTAGTACTTAATATTTTTAAATACTTATATTACGTGTTTGCATTCAAGTTTTTAGTATTTTTGGAGTGGACTGCTATAGAATAGACTATCGTTATTGGCTCTCCTCTCTCTTTCACTTTCGCTGTGTTCCATCGCCTGATCTACATTCATAGCCAACTCATTCCGGCTCAATAAGTCAACGCTGTTATTCGGCTGTGATAGATTCTTCGACGCTGTAAGAGTTACTGCTGCTGCCGCTGCCGCCGCTGCTGCTGCAGTGGACAAAATGTGCGTGTGGGGATCATTTTTCAATGTAGTTGGCGCGTTGTTTGTTGCACTGGCCAAATGGCCATAGGCCATGTTGAATAGCGCCTCAGGATCACATACAAAGCGGTATACGTAACGTTCGCCATTGACCTTCTGCATAATGCCTTTTTCATAGTAGTAACGTAGACTCCGCGACAGCTTATCATAATTCATTGCAGGTCGGTTTTTCTGCAAGCCCCAACGACGTGCTACTTCCTCTGGTTCAATGAGCTTGAACTCCATGCCGCGACCCGTCCAAGCGATACAACTTGAGCTATTCAAAAATATGTACATATGTTGAGTAAGCAGAGGTTCTATAAGAGTTGTGGCAGGTTTATGTAAAAATGAAAGCTCCACTTTAGTTTGTTGATAGGCGCTGCTTCCGGTTTCAATTACATAAATATTGATATGCGATATTCTATATACAGGTTTCAGCCCGCTCTAGGACCCTAGTGTAGCGCGACATCTGAGATGGTCTATTGGACTTGACCCTATATGTATGTGAAAGCTTTGCGCTTTTAATTCCAAATTTCAAATAGATTACTAAGTTGTTATTCACCTAGTTGAGCAAGTCTGCATCTAACAAGGACAAAAAATTAAAAAAAAAAACGTTTCCAGTTCATCGTTAGGGCAGGCGTTTGTGTCTGAAATATTTATTTTACTGAGGTGATAGCGGAAGGTAAAAAATTCTTTTAGCGAAATTACGCAAAAAGAAGCTAGAAATCGAAAAATCGAACACTACATATATTTCCAAAGTCGCGCTGAAAGATCGAATTATATTTTCGGAAAAAAAGTGGCAGTAATTTTCAGTTTCCATCTCAACTTTGCATTAAAAATGAAATTTAAAACCCCCGAGGTGGTGGCGTGAAATGGTCAGTTCAAGTTATTTTTTATGGTCATATTCGTTTTTAGCGACCCCATAAACCTAGAAATAAATTACAGCTCTTTAAACCGATTTTATTTTTTTTTTTATGAATAAACCCACATTCATTAAAAATAATTAGTTAAGTGAAAAAAAACAACTTAAATATGTATCAAAAGTGGAGTCATCATTTACCATATTTTAATTGATTGACAGTAGTGTTGCGCTTACCTTGTTGTGGGTTCATCCAGCAGTGCCACAAGAAATTGCCACAATTGAAGTGAACCGCGTCGCTGCGAAACTGTTTGGCTAGTGGAAATCGCGTTATTGTAAAGGCCATCGTATTTGATCTCGCCATCGGTTGAAGAGACAGTGGTCGAGTCAACAGCGACAGGACGCAGTGCGTACGTTGATGATATAGTTGAGTTGTAGGGACTTTCATATTTTATATCGATATCCGACGAACTTGTTGATGTCAACGATAGCGAGGCGGCGGTTGTGGGTGACAGTGAGCCGCTTGAACGTAGACTGTACGAGTTGCCGTTTGTTGTACTATATGGATGTTGATGATACATGCTTGCAGTGCCGCTGGTGATAATGGCTCCATGACCAAATTTGAAAGCAGATGTGTGTGCGGATAAATGGCTGCTGGGATGCGTTTGATGCAGCATGCTTGAGTGCACATGTGGGTGGTTGGGTGTGTGCGGATGTGTGTGCGGATGTGTATGCGTTGTTAGTGGTTGTTGAGTGGCCGGATGAGTATGTGTGTGCGGTTGTAAGTGCATATGAGTTGGATGGGTCAAATGCTGATGGGAGTGACCACTCAAATGCGTTGTCGTTGAATCGGGATGCTCGACTTTGGTGCTGTGATAGTGGTGCCCAATCGGAATCATATTTGTTGTTGCACCAGATGTTGGATCACTGCAAAACGATAGAGTTGGATCTGCATAAAAATAGAAATTTTTGTTATTCAAATATGCACGAACGTAATTGCAAGTAGACATAGTAGATTGCAAATACATATATAAAATTTCCATATTGTTTTTAGAAGGTATGNAATTTTTGTTATTCAAATATGCACGAACGTAATTGCAAGTAGACATAGTATATTGCAAATATATAAAATTTCCATATTGTCTTTAGAAGGTATTCTGAAATATGTCTTCCAAGCACATCTATTCAAATAAGATAACAAGGTACCAGTAGTAAGACTTAATTAAAACAAAACAAGTCAAAAATTCAAAGTGAGCGCAACTATTTAATATAGTTTTTTTCACCGTTACGAAAAATACCGCTACATGGTAAGCAGGGGTGGTCTTACCCCTATTTCAAATATCTTATATGTCCATATGTATACGTATAACGTTCAGTTAGACATAACGAGATAAACTTATTTACAGTACGACCTAGCTCAATGCAACTAATAGAAATTCTGGCAACTGCATTTAAATTGATTGTCTGTTTTTAAACAAAAATACATTGCATTTCTTAAAATAAAAATATAAAAATAATAATTAATTTTATTTGAAAGTAGATAAAACAAACAAATTTTAACCAATCCATTTTTGGATATTCACAATCTCATACGCCACACGGCATTCTGTTTCAGATTTTACAACTAATTTTCTCAACACTGCTTTTTGTTCTTGAATTCTAGATATTGGAAATTTGTGCACTTTGTATTCTTGACATGTCAATTTAAAAGATTTTCCTTTCTAAATTTTTCCTGAATCTCACTGTTTTGTTTAATAGGAAGCTGCGTGATACAATCATTTTTAGAAGGTAGTTTCACTTTAAAATTCTTGACATAAACCGTGTCTATGGCAAATACGTAATGTGGCCACTGCTGCGATATTGTACTTGGGGACTTTCCCTTATTGTTTTTGATATTTTTTAACCGACTTCAAGNCTTTGTATTCTTGACATGTCAATTTAAAAGATTTTCCTTTCTAAATTTTTTCTGAATCTCACTGTTTTGTTTAATAGGAAGCTTCGTGATACAATAATTTTTAGAAGGTAGTTTCACTTTAAAATTCTTGACATAAACCGTGTCTATGGCAAATACGTAATGTGACCACTGCTGCGATATTGCACTTGGGGACTTTCCCTTATTGTTTTTGATATTTTTTAACCGACTTCAAAAAAGGAGGAAATTAACAATTCGTCGGAATATTTTTTTTTATGTATGTATGTGTTACCGCAAAACTTCGGATCACGTTAAACGATTTATATAATTCGTTTTTAAAGGAAAGGTTGTACCTCAGAGGTGGTTCCGCATTTATTTGGTTTATGGAGAAATTAACGGTACTCTTAAATTTTTATATACATAAGAATTGAAATCGTTTCTGTCTGTTTGCTTAAAAATTACTTCCTACCAGAACATGTAAATATTTATATACATATTTCATAACTGATCACTTCATTTTTAATATACATCTACGAATTTAACACATGTATATGAATAAAAATCATATAAACGAAAATGCGATGGCAATATTTCTTGTTTAAATGTTTTAGATCCACCGCGCACCATACTTTGTCGCCTGCCGATTAAGTTGGGCTCGCTATACTTTCCACTGCCCCTCAACTACATACTTAGTTGGCACTATTAAGTTGGTGTAGTGTTCATATTTCAAGCGAGCCCCAACTAAATCGGCGGCCGATAAGATCTTATAGTTGTGACCTTACAGTTATTAAACGTGATGCACTTAATTTTTTCATCATTTATGAAGAAAATTATAAAAAAATTTTTGCAAATTTCTCTACTGATATGCTTGGCTTGGCTTTGTTTTTCCTACATCAAAAGCTAGATTTTTTTTTTTTATACCCACGCGCACTTGTGCACAAGGGTATATTAACTTTGTTCGCATATTGGTTGTTTGTAAGAGCCAAAACGAATCGAGATAGATATGGAAAAATGTATACATAAATGCTCAGAATGAAAAGAGTAATCGATTAAGCCATGTCTGTCTCTCCGTCCGTCCGTCCGTCTGTCGGTGAACACGATAGCTCGAGTAAAAATTGGGATATCTCAACGAAATTTAATATGTTTATCGGTTGCCCTTTATCCAAGGTAGGTTGGTATTGAAAATGGGAGAAATCGGACTGTAACCACGCCCACTTCCCATATAACGGTATTTTTGAAAAATGAAAAAAAACCATGATATTTCAGTTAATATTAGATGCAATTTGTTGAAAATTAGTACGTAAAGTAGAACTGTGGTAAAAATATAATATTATGAAATTTTTAGAAAGTGGGCGTGACCCCGCCCTCTTGTGATGAAATCCTGCATCTCAGTAGCCGCTTCACCAATCCTTACCAAACTCGGTACGAGCCTTGGGTAGGGCCTAGCTAATCAATTTGTTGAAAAACGTTGACATCAGGCAATAACCACGCCCACCTGCCATATAACGGTAATTTACAGAAACACGAAAACTGCGAAAAATCGGCTAATACTGAAGCTAACTTACTTAAAATCGGTTATTGCAATTACCACCTAGCGTAAAATGAGATTATTATAAATTTTTGGATAATGGGCGTGGCGCCGCCCACTTATGACCACATATGTGTATCTCGGTAAGCGATTCATCAATTTCTACCAAACTCGGTGCACTTAATAACTTAGGTACGGAAATGCATTTCGTTGAACATTATTCAAATCGGGCTAAAATAACTTCCGCCTCCCGTATAACGGTAAATTTCAGAAATACGAAAACTCCGATATTTCAATTACTGAGGACGCTAATTTACTCCAAGTTAATACTTACAGACGAATGAATGGACAGACAGACAGTCATCGTTTAATCGATTCCTTTTTTCATGCTCGGTCAAAAACATACAACAAGGTAGACACCTGAGATCAATTAATTTTCGAAAAAATATGTCTCCTCGAGATAAGAACATCGATCGTATGATATATGCCTAGGTTTGGTCAAACAATTTTTTTTTTTTCGAAACTGCCTTGCAAAAATACTTTAGACGCAGGGGTGTACGGCGTAATTTTTTTTCGGATGGCCTAATGTCCAATGCAGCATTTGAAGTCGGTAACAAAGGATAATTAATTTTATTAATTTTCCCCCAATTATCAGAATTTTATTAACTTCATGCATTATGCAATACTATTTTAAAAGTTATACATGTGTAGGGCTTATGAATGGTAATCACACACATCACTTGTCATAAGTTCCCAAACTTGTTTTTACCTTAAATAGCTCTCACCCTTTAACCATTATTACGAGTATCTTCATTTATCATTAAATGTACACTTAAATGTTCAATATGTTACAAATTTACACCAAATAAGTATGATGGGAGTTGGCCATGAAGGCAACAACGAATAACAACAACAGTTTATTCGTCTGAAAAAGCGTAGGGATGTCTATTAAAAATTCAAAGGATACCTTGGCTCGCCGTGCATAATCTATCAGCTACGTAATTTTGTATACCATAAGAAAAATCTGTTTCACAACAACAACAGCAGACACAAAGTAACAACAATACCAAAAAGCCAATATAAAGCATTAAAACTGTTGGAATGAAAGTGAGCAGCATCAGCAAGTCCCTTGAGGGTGGGAAAGTAAGTACCTCACTCTCTATGCTTGCTTTTAAAAGGGAGTTACTTGTTGAGGGCTGGCATGGTATTGCGGAAAAAACACCAGGCGCTAATGTTGATGTTAAAGGTCATGAGGTTTGTTAAGATGAAGTGGATGGGGTAAAGAAATAATAGTGGTATTCACCAGATTGAGCAAGTGGCCTGGCACTCTGGCAAAAGAGAAGATGAGCTGAAGCAACGACAGTTGACAACAGTCATTGCTTGAGTTGATCTGCTCTTTTGCCAGACTGCCAGGCCACTTGCTCACTTTGGTGAATACCACTAATATTCAATTTTATGCTCATTTAGGTACACATGAATGTATGTACTTGCATACTAGGGTGATTGACTCGGTTTTTCAAAACCGGTTTCCACCCTTTTTTTGGTTATCTATAGGCGGTTTTTTGAAATCTTGATTTTTTCAATATCGAATAGACCGGATTTGTTTTTAGATCGAACAAACTGGTTTTTTAAATTCTATACAAATCTTGACCTCTTAATGCAAGTTTTGAATTTTTGAATGTTTTTAAGGCATTTTCCAGTTTAAGGGAAACTCCTAAATAGTGATGAATAAATGTGCCCTTTAATTTGAAGGTGGCATAAGTCACTTCACTTCTCTTCTACTTAGATGACCGGTTACTTGTATCTGAACGCGTCGATTATTCGTTCACTTTGCCAACCAAAGGCAAAATGTTTTGTCGTTAGTTTATGACGATAGAGCGATTTACAGAAGCATTCGGTTACAAGTAGCCGGTCATTTAAGCACACGAGGTACGAAGTGACTTATGCCACTTCCAAATAAA